GTTACACCAAAAACCAAAATCGATTTTTTGGAAAACCAATTTTGCGTAAAAATTCCCGTTTTTCCTTAATTTTTATGTTGTTTTTCCCGGCGCTTGTGAAAACTACTGGTTATACTTTTACTACTACTAATTTATACTTTTGACCCCCCAAAGTACCAACTAGATTCACTTTCCTATCAGAAAAGCTACTGATGAAGAAAATCCAAGCACTTTTACTGTCCTAAAACGTGATGACAGACACAAAAATAAAAAAAAAATAAAAAAAAATAAAAAAAAATAAAAAAAATAAAAAAAAAAACACACATCATTGTAAAATCAATACATTCATCGTTTCACTCAGAATCTAAAAACACACATCATTGTAAAACCAATACATTCATCGCTCCGCTCAGAATCTAAAATGATTCCTAAGAAATATAGTCTAGAAGTTTATAAATTCAACCATTTTATCGAAATTACAATTGAACTTCGAGAAGTATGATTAATTTACTACCGCTTTTAGTAGTTTTATAGTCATGCAAACAAGAATATATTTCATTTTTCGCGATGTATTGAAATGTGTTTGCGTGTGTGAGTTGCTTCCCGCATCGTTGCCCCACTCGACGTGCAGCGATCCTCAGAAACGACAACGGATTATGCACACTAATGTTCATTTACTACTCACCCATTGATACAGTATTAATTGTCACATGAATTGCCTAAGTAGTACTCCTTAAAATATGCTACGGTGCAGCCCCCTTATGGAAATTTTTTGGAGGGTACAATAAAATTGTTATAACTATAGTTAGTAGACAATAATATTTATATACCATTGCCATCCGAGGGAATTTGATATGGTTATTGGTTATTATCACTTTTTTTAGCAACAAATAACTTGCAATATTTCCCTATTTACAATAATTATTATTGATAATAATAGATATAAAAATAATTTAATGTGTGTTTAAGAGGATGCCACACCCGCATGTGTTGTCTCCGTCTTACAAATGTACAACATAGCAAAAACTCTTTTGCGAGGGACAACTTTTCTCGCACCATATTTGTTGTAGAACTACCAAATTTTCACAGCACTTAAAGAAGAACTTAATCTGTGCAACAGCGTGCTCTTTTTTTCAATAGCACCATACAATCATTTTTTATAAGCAAATTAAAAAACCAAATGTTTAGAAGCAAATAACTTGTATAGTATATATGTTCTTGAAAAAAAGAGCACGGTGTTGCACAGATAAAGTTCTTCTTTAAATGCTGTAAAAATTTGGTAGTTCTACAACAAATATGGTGCGAGAAAAGTTGTCCCTCGCAAAACAGTTTTTGCTATGTTGTACATTTGTAAGACGGAGACAACACATGCGGGTGTGGCGTCCTCTTAATCAACAAAGATAAAAATTAATAATAAATAATAATTATTAGTACAGTGAATGTAAAATAACTAACAGTAATAGCAATAATTCTTTAATATTTAATCATTTATGGTAAACAAATTTAACATTGAAATTTAACATTGGTCAATGGTGGGCCCTTGGACCAGCACCCACGTAAATACGTTACTGTTGCAAACATTCGGCCGAGCTCTTTTTTCTCCGATGAAGCTTTAGCATCCCACGGTTATCTACAGTAACCTTAACCTTGGCATATCCATAGCATATCCATCGGACGAACTAGGTACCAGGGTCGCAGGACGGTGCTAGTTTGTTTTAATTTTTCGGTTTCGTCGGCGGTGGTGATCCGTTGTCGACGGCTCGCTCGAGCGTAGCTGCTCGTTCGATGGTCATCGTTCAGTCACACGTCACAGCATTATAGCGTATAATACATTATTATCATTGGTGTCTACAATATTTCAAAACATTATAATTTTACTGAATGTTTATATTAGCATTTTTTATACACCATACAATTTTGAAAATATTTTGACTCTTTTTGAACTGTTTACGGACATTTTTAGTTATCAATTTTTTTAGTTTTTTTTTCTATAAATATCAATAAAATTTTATTTGTTGGGTAAAAAAACTTGAAAATGTAATTCAAAGCTCCTTATATATTGTTACAATAGCAGTTGAAAAATATTAAAAATACAAACTCACAATTTTTAGATTCTGAGTGGAACGATGAATGTATTGATTTTACAATGATGTGTGTTTTTAAAATTTTTTTTTTATTTAGTTTTGTGTCTGTGTACACGATAAGTAGTCGAAATAATGCTTCAATTTTCGACTTCAGTATCTTGTTCGATTGGAAAGTGAATATCGTTGGTGCCTTGGGGAGGTAAAAATTTAAAATTCCCAGTACTTTTCAAAAGCGCCAAGAAAAACAAAAGAAAAATTAAGGAAAAACGGGAATTTTTACGCAAAATCGATTTTTGAGAAAATTGAATTTGGTTTTTGGTGTAACTTTAAAACAAATGACCGTAGATACATGAAATTTTCACTGGTTGTTTATATTTCCATTTTCTATACACGATAACATTTTCAAAATATTTTGATTTATTTTGAACTGTTAAGGGACATTTTCATTTTTCATTTTTTTTTTTAGTTTTTTTTCTAGAAATATCAATCAAATTTTATTTGCTGGTTAAAAAAACTTGAAAATTTAATAGAAGGCTCCTAGTATATTGTTTCAAAGGCAGATGAAAAATATTAAAAATCGTTAGTCACAGTTTTTTTTTATAAGCATTTAAAGTTAAAGAATTGACAAAATATGGAAAAATCACGAAAATTAGCAAATTATTTTGAGTTAAGAATTCGTAAAAATTTTTCTTTTTAAATCTAAGATTTGAAAATGTAATACAAGATTAATGTTCACAATCAAGTTTGTCTACCTTTATCAATAAAAAAATCTCTACCGGAAAGTCAAATTAAATTTTTATGAGCGTTTGAAATTCAAATTTTTACAACATTGGATTTTCACTCGATTTCTCATGAAGGGATTTCATTATTTTGTTGTACCTAATTCAAAAACGAATAACTGTAGATACATGAAAATTTCACTGAATGTTTAAATTAGCGTTTCCTATACACCATACAATTTTTAAAATATTTTGACTTTTTTTGAGCTGTTTACGGACATTTTCAGTTTTCAATTTTTTTAGTTTTTTTTTCTATAAATATCAATAAAGTTTTATCTGTTGGGCCAAAAAGTGTAAAAATTTAATAGAAGGCTCCTGATATATTGTTACAATAGCAATTGAAAAATTTTAAAAATACATAGGCACAATTTTTTTTTATAAGCATTTAAAGATCGAATTTTGACAACATTTATCAAAATCTCGAAAATTATCAATCATTGTTTTTTTTTTTTTTTTTTTTAAATGCAATCTACAATCTATACCACAGGGCACAATAGGTAGATGTGAATGAGATTTTATATACAAATAATTTAAAAAAAATACATCATATCCTTAAAAATAATAATTGTACATAATATGTGAACAATTTTGAGGAAAGCAGCCACCCATTGGTAACACTTCAATTTGCCTTACATTTTTTTTTAAATTATTTTTTTTTTTATATTTTCAGTATTTTTTTTTTTGAAAACTTGTAACCTACAGTACAGCAGAGCGACATCCACTTACCCACCTTTTTTTAAATATAAAAATATAAATCCATGTCTTAAGTTGTAAATAAAGCATGCGGTGAATTTTTCCCTGTGGAACATTATGTAAGACTGTAAGAGTCAAATTGAACTTAGTTGTCCAACTGATATTGGAGTATGAAGAAATGTGAAGGAAATAATATATTCAAAATGTATGTAAGCTATCAGTTTATTAATATACAATTTGATGGTTAAGACTACCTGTAATAATGTTTCAATAAAATAATTAATTAAAAAAAAAAATTATTAAAAAAAAAAAATTACTTTAAAAACCTTAGATACAATGTAACTAATATTCCAACATCAATCAATACATAAACACATTTTTTAGGAAAGCTAAACAACTTAACATGTATTACTTTCTTGGGAGTAACATAATTAACACTAATAATGTATAACTAAAAATTGATAGTAAGCTTAAAGAATGTTACAACATTCATATATTTAATTAAAACTTAAAACTTACATAATTACATTATAAATACTTGTCATAAAATACTTTTCTAGTAAGTAAATTTTATTTAATATTATAAAATAAACCAATGAAAATTACTTAATAAACAAATTAAACCTCATCAGTTAAATACAGTGTAATAAGAATTTGAATAAATTACTTGGTTGGCAATGTACGAATATACAACACATGTTCTAGTTATTGAAAATAAAAAATTAAAACTTGAATTTAATTAATAAAAAATATACCTTAAATATTGTGTCTAATATATGATATACATATTAAATTTAAATATATCCAATGAATATCAAGTAAAACTTAACTTCATTGTGTAAGTAATTATATCAATATTTGGCTAATAGTAAAATTTTATTTTAAATTATAAAATAAACAAATGGAAATTACTTAATTATTAAAATTAAACATAGTCAATTAAATTCAAAATGTTACAAGAATTTGAATAAATTATTTGGTTGACAATATATGAAAATGCAACACAACCTATGGTTAATGAAAACAATTCTTAAAACTTAAATTTAATTAATAAAAATTATACCTTAATTATTGTGTCTAATATATAAATTGCATATTTAAATACATTCAATGAACGTACACAGTAAAAACTTAACTTCATGTAAAAGTAGTTATGACAATAAAAATAGTTAGGATTTTTTAGGATAAAACAAAGTACAAAAGCATGAATTTGAGATTCAAGTAATTCACAAGTATTCTAATGTTTTTTTTTAAATATAATTATACTAACATTAAAATAACTTCAGATGTTAAAATATATTGTCATTTTTAATGGCTTAAAATTTTAATTTTGAACACGTAAAATATAATTATGGGACATGACATGATAAATCATTGTTCTGATGGAAACAAATTTCACACTGAGCAAGATTAATTATTTTTAGAAAAGCATTTTGTCTCATAATTCTCGACATGTTAATTTTTATTAACTGTGGTTTTCCCAAATGTGATTACTTAGAGCAAGATTAGTCTCATACTGCTGACCACAGTCATTACACGTATACTTATCTGAAGTATGTATCTTTGCATGCTTTTTAAATGCAATAATGTCAGAAAACCTAGTTCCACACATTCTGCATGTGTATGTCACATTTTCTGTGTTTACTGATATAATTTGCTCGCTGGTTCTTTTTTTTGTAGAGTTTGTTCCTTCATAATGTTTAAATAATTGTTTGTGTGTAACTCTTAAATGTTCTTCGTAAGAAAATTTGTTTTTTAATGTAATTCCACAAACATTACAGGTCACAGGTTTATAAGTTTTTTTGTGAACCACGGATACGTGGCGAGTTAAATTATATTTATTACAGTATATTTTACCACATAACTCACATTTAGCACCATTAATGTGATTACTTCTATTTCGTTTTTTAATAATCGCTGGTTTTTGTTGAATTATGTCCATTAATTTGGATTTTTGTGAACCGGTATTCAAATACGTTTTATTTGATGTAAACTTTGGAAGGTAACTTTTACAATGGCGACGACATTCTTTGCTCATATGATTTTTCCACTGAAATATCGAGTTACATTCTTTTTTGCAATATCGACATTTTATTATATCTTGACCTATAGAATCAATCTTTAGTTTTGAATGTGACTTTTGGTGAAGATTCAATTTTAATTTAGTAGAGAATTTTTTCTCACAAACACCACAGGGATGTTCTACATGAATACGCATGTGATTGGTTAGGGCACCAAGATGTGCAAAATGCTTGTTGCAAAGTATACAAAATGTTGATTTCTTCTCATTGCTTTTATTAACATGGTTATTCAGACTGTAATTTTTGTTATTTACTGGAACCGATAATTTGTTTTCGGATTCATTAGTCAACTCTATATTTTCAGACAGAATGGTTGATTCATTACAATCAATTGATGTAAGTTGTTTTGGTGTATTTGTATTTATTTTATGCCTTATCATCATATGATTTGTAAAATAACAGTGCTTTCGAAACTTCCTATCACATAAATTACAGTAATTCGTTTTTTTAATTGACGTTGTTGCAGAATCAGTGTTGTTATCTTCTATACTTATGTTGTTTTGGATTACATTTGGTTCAAGTTCAATATTCACATTATTAGTGTGAAATGTATTAAATTCACTTTCAAAAAGATTAAACTGAACTGTTGACACATTTAAATCTATTTGCTGTTGATGATAGGTCATATGGTCTGTCCAAAGAACTACAGAGTTGAATGTTTTATCGCACACAATACATTCATGCATTTTACACTCCCTGTGATCACTCATGTGTAATGCAAATGAATGTATATCTGTAGATGGAGGATTTTTACAAATTCTGCATGTAAATATAAGCTTGTTTTGTAATGTCTGATCATAATCATCATTACGAAATCCATGTTCAATATTAGACGATTTTCTGATACAAAAATAAGGCGTGTCTCTAACTATAGATACAATACTATTATTAGCTGTATTAGTAGGGAATTGTTTCACCATTAAATCATGAGGTTTGTTTGCCAAAGCTGATTCATTGCTATTTACCGAATCCACTTCATCTGAACTGTTTATTTCTCTGACATTTGTAAATAAGTCTTTTTTTTGCTTTATACTTAGGATGTTTGCCATTGAGTTTTGTGAAGCAGTCAATACTATTGATTCTTTGCTGTTTGCTAAATTAATTTGATCTAAAACATTTCTTTCCAAGGTATTCGATATGATTTTAGTTTGCCCTGGATATGAAATAATGTCATTGTTCGGGATATTGGTGTGCGGAGCAGTTGATACAATTGTTGCACACATGGAATTGTGATGTTTTTGAATGTGTCTATTCAAACCAAATTTTAACTTAAACTGTTTTCCACAAAATTTACATTTATTAGTTTTATAATGTACTTGTTTTTTGTGTTCGGCCATGTGGATTTTTAACAGATAATTATAATCAAAGCTTTTTCCACAAATATTACAATGAAACATTATATCACTTGTATTTCCAGGATTCAAGTTAATATTATCTGTGTAATCCTGTGAAAAAAAATATGATTTATCAATAAAATAATTAATTAATGCTCATATGTTTAAAACTTTTAAAGTATTCTTGATGTATTCTATCTACCACATGTGGGTGATCTACCATTCATAACTAGGGCCCAGATTTAAATGGCCTTAAAACCATACAAATATGCTTTAAAAATAGCCATAAATGATCTTAAAAAATGTATTTTACTGTAAATAAAACCTTAGAAAGGACCTTAAAAATGCCATATTAATTTTTTGGGGCACTATTTAACTCTATTTTCGGAGGTTGTTTATATTAACATTGTCTTTTCTATACACGATACAATCTACAAAATATTTTGATTTGTTTCGAACTATATACGAACATTTTTAGATTCCAATTTTTTTAGTTTTTTTGTGAATGTCTATTTCTATGAATGTCAATAAAATTATATTTGTTGTGTAAATAAGCTTGAAAATGTAATACACGGCTCTTAGTATATTGTTACTATGACATTTAAAAATATTAAAAATCCAGTCCCAAATTTTTTTAATTAGCATTTAAAGTTCAAATGTTGACAAAAATAGTAAAAATCGCGAAAATGTGCAAATTAGAGTTAGAAATTCATAAAATTTTTTCTTTATAAATCTAAGATTTGAAAATGTGATACAACATTCTTCATAAGTTTGTTTACCTTTATTTAAAATAAAATGTCTACAAGAAAGTCAAATTAAATTTTTATGAGCGTTTGAAGTTGATATTCTTACAACATTGGATATTCACTTGATTTTTGATGTAGCGGTTTACAATTTTTATTTATATGCAGATATTATATATATTATTATGTATGTATATATATTTTTTTATGAAAAAATTAAAAATTTAATAGGTAATTGTTTTGTAGTTAAAAATGTATAAAATGTTCAACTTTTATAGCTAAGAATTGAAAATTTAAACAAAATTCCAGGTAAATAGATATATATATAAATTAGTTTATTCATAATAATATCATCGAATATAGTATTACTTAGTAATATCATAGACTGTTTGACCGTCTTCTTTTGATAGAATTAAAATTTTACACCATCCATAACAGTAACCCACTTGACAACTAATGTACAGCAGAGCAACACCCACTTTCCCATTTTTCTTTTTTAATTATAATATTTGTAAACTGTAGGTAAGTATAAAAAATATAAATAAAATAAAATATAGAATAAATATTTTATAAGAAAATTAATTAGGTAGGTACATTTATTAAATGAGCATAATTTATATTGAAATATATGCCTGTGTAATATATTATTATATAATAAGTAATGACAATTAAATAGAATATTTTTGGACTTTTTGTCCAACTTTTTTTTTAAATGAACTTTTTGTCCCTGGACTTTTCGTCTGGGATTCATACGGTGTATACCCATTTACCATTTGATGATTTATGGTATACCATGTAAAAATAGGACATTTACTTTAAAATTAAAACAAATTGAGCAATCTACCTATATTCTGTATTATTATTTATTGTTATATGACATTTATTTATTATCTATAAGTTAGAACCGTAAAATAAATAATTAGTATTGATTATTACCACATTTAACATATGGCCGTATTAATCATTGTTCTGGACTTTGCTTATTGCATTTTTTTTTAAATAAAATGATTAAGTTGCTGTCATAGATCAATAAGCATTGCCAATAGAACTATCAAGTTAAATGTTATAAAATATTAAATCTGACTTGTAAAAGTGAAAACGTACATAACAAAACTATGTAACAAAAAATGCGTTTTGTTAAAGTTTGGAAATTTGGAAATTTATTTTGTAAGATCCTTACAAAATAGTTCTTCACGAGCGGCTTTTTGAAGAGTTAAATTTGATTTATTTTGAACTTATAAAATCACAATATTCCTTGCATATTTGTATTACTGCATAAAGTTCATAAATGAGAGTATTCCAAATAGTATATTTATGAAAACACCACGTGTTATTAAGATATATTCAACAGATATTTATTAAGATAATAAAACAATAAAATGTTTCTAAAATAACTTATGCATAAAATATAAATTAATTAAAATATATCAATATGTATAATATATCGCACCCCTGAAAGAATAGTGACACAAACCAGTAAACCAAAATGTTGGGAAGTTGACTTTTAATGTTTTGTTAAGACATTAAAAATAGGATTATTAATAAATTTTTCTTTTTTCAATCTTATATACAAGGGAACAGATAGACCTGAGAAAAAAAATTATGCTACTTAAATGTAAGACAAAAATTGTTAAAATTATATGATTAGTAAATTAATTAAGAATATACTCATGTGTGCAAATTCCCAAAAAAAAGTTTTGAAAAAAGTTATTACGTTCCAAATTCATTTAATCAAAAATATATTTTAATAAATTCTAAAAAATAAACTACTTGACTGAGATAAATGTTTTTTACTATCAAAAATTGTTCTTATAATCAGATTCACAAATTGGCTATTTTGAATATATCAAAATAAATTTAAAACTAAATTTTAAAGTTTTTATTTTCAGTTAAGAAATAAAAATAAGGTGACTATAATAATTATACATAAAAGAAAAAAAAAACTAATATTGATTAGAACAAAAAATTATACAAAAGTCAGTTCTATCTGTTACACTCTGTATAGATTATTTTAATATTGATAGGTATATTCTCTATGCTTAAAATATTAGTTTAAGTTACCATTTCACCTTTGGTTTATGGTTAATCTGATTTCAGTTGACTGTGTCATTATTCTGCTTGGAAAAATTATATTTTTTGATTATGCCACAAAAAATACTTAATTATAAATTATTTTATAACATTGAATGTATAACTTGTTATATAAAATTTAATATCAAACTTAAATACAAAATAATAGGTATGTAAATATTAGTTAATTATTGCATATTTTAACTACTTGATACATGTGAAACAATAAGGCTTGAGTATCCAAATATTGATAACATGTTAAGTTTGGCAAAAAAAAGTATTTTAGAAGCTTCAAGTTGTGTGTTCAAACTTTGAGAATTATTTCCAGAATTACCTTCGCCTCTACAGCCTATACTTATCCGATAGAGAACTTGAATAGAAGTATATCATTTTATGCTGATCATTTAAACTCCATAAAATTGGTGCTTTTGTCTTTAGACAAAAGTTCTGTGAAATCGATAAAGAATGCTATGTTTTTGTAGTAAGTGTTGAGATTTATGCGGTAGGTATATTTTAACATATTTTTATTGCATATTAATCCTAGCCCTAGATATAAGTAATTTTGCTCAACTTCTTGTATATGTTAGATATTTATAAAGATGAAATTGAAGAAAACTTTTTATTTTGTCAACCATTAGAAGGACGTACAACTAGAAATTATATTTTTGTTCTCTTTTGTTCTAACAATTTCCTAGAAATTAATGAAATTTCCTTTTCAATGTATATGTCATAATGCACTGATAACGCAGCTGCTCTTACTGTTTCAAAAAAAGGGTTTAAAGTTAAAGTTCTAGAAGTTTCTTCAAATATAATGTTTAACCATCGTATGATTCACAAAGAAGCTTTAGCTTCTAAAAAACTTCAACCAGATATTAATAAAGTACTCCTTATTCCTCAATGCTATAAGTGTAATACATTTCTAAAATCAAGTCATTATATTATAGACTTTTTACTATACTAAATTTTTAATTTAGATTTTATAAAACTAATTTTGTATTTTTTTTTTTTATGTTTTGGATTAATTAAATTAAAGACATTTTAAAAATTACCTCAAACTAAACGATAAGTTAGGGTATGCTTTACTGATATTACAAAAAGTGGCCTTCGATTCTATTGTAGACTTTATACTAATTGTGTTTCAGAATTCTTATCCCTTCACATTGATTAATGGTACATTGTCAATAGAATACATCTATAATCCTATGCTGAGAGTGTGTTAGACAAAGACAGAATATGACCAACTAGAGGTTGTTAGGTTTTAAAGTATTAAACACAAACAAAATCAGATTTTGTATTGCAAGACAATAGTAGAGTTGCTAACAAAAATCAAATTTAGTAACAATTATTATTATTATTATTATTATTATTATCCATAGATTTTTCTACTAAACAATAATAATACCACGATAGGAGCCAGTTACTGATAATAATTCAATCATAGCATTCTTTAAGTAAGTACCTAGTTTACGATTATATTACTGATAAAGCTATTAGTTATTCTTATTATAGATACAATAATATTATATTAATAAAATTAAAATATTTTTTCTTAAGTGAAACGGTTACTTTTGAGAGACCTATGACTTTATTCTGGTTAGAAAAATATTGTGTAACAACATTAGTCAGGCCAGAAAAAAGTTATATCCAAGAAATGTCGATATTCCAGCTGAAAATCATACTTTATTTTAAGAAGAAATAAATACATTTGAGCTCATACTGTCTATAATATTATACAAATCAAAAATGTTAAGCATACCAAAATATAAAGGATAAAATTCTGAAAATTTTTACGGTGATAACTATAAAACGTATTTTTTGAGTTGTGTCACTATATTCTTTCAGGGTTGCGATATGTATGATATTCTAAATAAAATGTGGTACTTAGAAAACATAATTATTATGTCAAGTGAAAACAAGCAATAAACCGCATACGACAAGAATAACGTATTTAAAAAGGATAATACCTGATATTCCAAGGGTAACTCCATATTACTTTGGTTAGCAACTTCTTTGGTAATTTTGATTCTCCTTCCCCACATGAAATCATCCATCATATCAGTTTCAAGCTCAATACATTTTTCAACATTTTCATATACCAAAGAAACATGATTATCTTCAACTGTATATAATGCAGAATTTTCAATAGTATTTTCAAGATATAATTCACTATAAAATAAAAAATTTAACTAGTTAATAAAATTTTATAAAATGTAATTATTAAATTAAAAATGGAAGAAAATAATATGAAGATTTAATTAGTGCAAATGCCTGGTAACAGCATCAGCATCCCCAGTGACTTCAACTTGTAAGCAGTCTTTCATTGAAGTCATTTAAGAATATTCTAAAGATCAAAATATTTATTAATTCAAAGTACATATTAAATCTTATTACCTAAATCTTATTTGAACTCATAATTTATTAAACATATCTATTTGATGGTAATTTTTTTTAATATAATATACATCTGGACAATTGATGATAATTAAAACAGAATGCTATCCTATAGGTAGTTCGATTTAAGGTCCTTTTAACCTAACGAGGGAGAACCAGAACCTGAAAAACTATGAATCAAAAAAAATAAATAATTTTGGAAATAATTGACGAGAAGGACACCAATTATTGTGAATGTGGAGAAGTGCAGACAACGGGAAATCAACTAATCTGTAATAATTTTTCAACTACATATGTGAGTTAGTAGACTTAAGATCTGCAAATGACAGTTTCAATCTTTATAAGATAGCAGAGTACTGAAGCCACAATATTTAAAAAATACTGATCATAGGTAAATCACCTTTATTATTCATTGTTTGACTTCTGGACTGTTAATATTTTATTTATTTCTCAGGAAAATGAAATCGGCCATACACAGTAATATAATGTTTATAGTTTTCCTTATTGTTCTCAAAATATTAATGAAAAAAAAAATTATCTAAATTTAAAATTGAATAAATCAAATTTTTGTAGGTACCTAATTAAAAATTGTTTTACCATTAAAAAGCAGTTACCTAATTCAGTTGTATTTTTTGATTATTTTAGGTGCAAATTATCTCAAATTGTATATTTCCTACAATTTGAGTGCGACAAGTCCCAAACCCTAGTTATAAATAACAGAGGAAAAAAATAAAAATAACATAAATATTAGGTGGGCCAGTAAAATAAAGTAAGCTCAATAGTAAAGCAACAAAAATGTTTAGCAAAATTATGTTTCACAGATGTCAGACTTTAAATAGATAGTTGAATAATGATTAAACATATTGCACAGTCTCAATACAAACTGTTGTATTATGTATACTAATCTTACATGACACATGAAGTTACTAATGTTACAGTAGTTACAGTGTACTAATTTAATTTTGTTTCTTAAAATTTAACTAACACTAATGTTGAACACAATTATATTATAATCATAATGGTATTAGATCATTTTTAAATGGACCAACTATTTTAAATTTGTTATATTATAATGTACAATAATATCTTAGTTATAGAATTGAAACGAGTAAGATAAAACAAAATTCAAGGATATATTTTAAATATTTGTATATAATTTAAAAAAAAAATAACAGAAGGTACCTTTCAAGCATAGACCTATAAAGAAATGGACTGATAACAGAGAGAGAGATCCAGGGGCCAACATTGTTAGAAAAAGATAGCATACAACTTTGGTACCATTTACACCAATTAATAAAAGAGAGAGGGAGAATAGTTCAACAACAAAGATAACAACATTTTTAGAAAAAGATAGCATACACCTTAGGTAGTTGGGTCACATTACATACACATGTATTGACTATCTCTTTCTAACAATCTTATTTCAATAAACTTAAGGCAGGGTGTGGGGAGTAGCAGTCCATATCTTATTATGTCTATGCTTTCAAGTGACACTATACAATAGTGTTTGCAACAAAAATTACCTATTAATTATTTCTTATGCGCCAATACCAAAAACTCAATAAACCTATAATGAAACTAAATAAGTTCAAATAAGAAAAGAATTAATAATATAACCAAGAACGGTTGTAACTTATATAAGTAAGGTTAGGTTTAGGCTAAAATATATATTATTATATACCAATTACCGTATCGACGAGGAATCACAGATGCCAGACAGCAGACGGGTATTAAGAATTACAATAAACTTTATGTAGTTTATTATATTATGACAAAAACCACGTGGAATCTCGGAGTCGTCTGCCCATAGAAAATTAAGTAATATACTCCGTAGTCACATCACGGTTGTCAACTAATACTGGGTGTACCCCACCCTCCGCCCAGCTTAGTACTGTGACGTAAGCATTTCTCCGGTTCTCATTGGTCCACCTCCATAGATAATAGCCGCCGACGCCGAAGACTCCAACACCACTCCACCGCACAACCTGTTGGAGAAATGCTTACGTCACAGACATGCGTATGACGAGTTGCTGACATACCTATTTAATTTGTCATGCATAATAGAATATAGAGTATATTACACGAACCACGGACTAAGATATACAGGACTGTACACGAGATGAATATTGTGGTTACGAAATGCAGTGCAACAGGTGGAGTTCGGGGGATATTTTCCTTTTAGCATTACTAGCGCCGTCTTAGTGGATACTTATGGAACTAGAACACATTTGCATTTCGAGGTCAACCCCCCCCCCACCTTACAACCTTGTCGTGTCTAGTCCTGTATATATTAGTCCGTGGTATATTATATTGTATCATAGAACAATATAGAAGCAAAACACGATCGGCTGTTAGGTGAAGTGTTTACCTATGATCTGAAGTCCGAACAATGAAACTGTTTCCGTACACCAACATGATGTTATATCCGTATTGATAAACCATTTCTCGGAACATAGGCGGGATACACTACACGGGGTCGGCTTGTTTACCATTCCCTATTTCACGTATTCCCCCTGGAAACCGTGTTCAAGGTCACAATTGCCCGATTTGGCCAATTGACGGAGTAACCACAGAATTCTGTGATAGTACTCGGTCCATAGATAAAGCTTTGGTACCATTGATTGTATAGAGAAACAATGTATATACTATAAAAATTTCCTACGCTCCAGGGGAGGCGGCTAATAGATGGAGCATGGAAAATTCGTCGCCGAGGCGAAAACAGTATAGTAATATTCTATATTTAAATAACTATTGTACCTACACAATCGCCAGGGTCAAATTGATCATTATAAATTATAATAATTACTTTTATTCTAGAATGTACAATATTTATTTATAATATATAAAATATATTATAAATAAATATATACCTATTATAATATATTTTTAAAAAAAAATGATTATATTATTATTTGTCAAGCAATAAATTACGAGTAATAATATAATATAATATTAATTAATTTCACATATTAAAAAATAAAATAATATTTTTAGAGACTGGTAGCTCGTACCTATGTTGTCAGCTTCGATGAACTAATATTAAGCATAGCATAAGATATCGAACATTTCAACATTGTTTCTCTTTACAATATAATATACAACCTTTGGTCGTGCTATTTAAATTATTAACGCTGTGGTAGTGGTTTACTGTTATCTATTATGTTTTCATTAGAAAAAATTTTAAATATTAAATTCTATTCAATGTTCATGTCTTCTGTATTTAATAATTGTTGAACGTCTTTTGTCCTGTGTCCTGATTCCTGAAGAAACAAACGGAACAAACGTTTCTACAACATGAACTATGTAAAAGTAATATTTAGTATTTATCCACGTTTATTTTGACGTATAGATTAGGATAACATCATGAACTGCCATACCAAAAGATCATGGATTACTGTAACTGTCAATATTATGTACCTATGTGAGATAGATATTTTAATGTGTGTGTATGTGTGTTTTTTTATTATACAAATAAACTTGGGTAAGATAACACCATTCTTAAATTTATTATTTAAATTCACAAGTCATTTGTATCTTTAAATGTGGAAAATTTAAAATTTAATTAATATGTTATCAGAAAAAAAACATCGGAATAGAAGTATGTTCATTGTTGCTGAACTCTTAACAGGATATAAGCAATCTTATATATATATAAATCTCGTGTCTTTGTCCGGGATAAACTCTGAAACTACTGGACCGATCTTGATGACATTTTTACAACATTTTATGATTTATATAATTAAAACGATTTTTATGAAAAATGTGTAATTTGGCCCAACTTAAAAGATAGGCTAATTTAAAAAGGGAGGGGGGGGAGATTAAATAATATTATTTATACATGTTTATCAGAGTGCTCTTGTTTGTATAACACGCAATATCAAAAATATCAGTAATTTCAGTATCATTTAAAGTAGGCTCTGTGATCGGATCTGGTGAGGATAATGGCGTGGTTGATGGCAAATCTGGTGTATGAGTTTCTGAAGAACATAGATGTGGTGATGATGTACCCGGCAGAGGTTTTGAAAAAAAAAATTAATTTTGGGCTGTTTTTTTTTCGGCCATAACCACTATATATTTACTGAAAGTTTTAAAAATAAAAAAATGAATCATGTCAGTATTTAAGAAAAACGATAATTTATACAAAAATAAAATATAATCTATTTTTTAAAAAATATAAAATAGTTATTTTTATTAGTTGTTATTTTTCTTAATTAAAAGTTATCTTTTTAATATTTAACACAGAAAAATATTACATTGTGGAATCTAAATGGATTTATTTTGAATAAAAAAATAAAATCGACACTTGTCAATAGTAATTTGAATCTATTATCATAATATCATGTATACTGTATAGGTATTATAAATTAGAAAGCAAACATAACATTATGTTTAGACTATAAGTACTAATATAAATATTACCAGTTCTAAATGTATTTTAATAATTCATAAAATCATAGAACCAAAATTACTATTGATTTAACTTTAGTATTTAATAAACATTTCATTGAATCATAAATATTTTATTTTGAATATATATTTTAATCCAGCGCGACGGTAGTGGCGCGAAGCTAAGTAAAAAAAATAACGGAGTAGCCACTAACGTATAATAACAGGACACCGAGTTTTAACATTGAAAAATCGTCCTAATTTATGTCAATTCTTTGCCAAGCTCTACAGGGCAAACGGCTGAACATATAAAGTCGTATGAGGTATCAATCGATCATAAAATATATTGTGCAGATGGGAACAGAGGAATTCGCTAGCAGATTGGTTAGATAGTTTATAAGTTATAAGCAAAAATGTTCAAGTACTTTTAAGACCGATCTTACGTACGGAACAGTGGGGATGGATAAGCGGTTTGTAGCGGAACGAAAATATCGTCTTTCCCACGACTACTCTCATCGCGGCGGCGCGCGGCGGCGGCGACGTACTACGATTG